AGAACTCATTGTACATGATATTTGAATATCTTTTAATGCCCATAAACTACGAAGAAGTTTTCGACATTCATTTCGAAATACTCGACCAGTTAAACAATAAAGTACAAAATTTATCTAAAAGCAAAAAGATTTTATTTCAAAAAAATTAAAATAAATATATATTTACTGTATGATTAAAATACATTAATGTAGTTGTGATAAGTTCTGCTATTTGCCATTTTACTGTTGATTCCTGTGGAGGACGTAAATCAGCAGTAAATGCACGTATTGATGGTGGTAATGTACAAAGAACAGATATAAATGATATTAATAATAATAAACATGTTAAACGTATTCCTGTTGCACTTGTAGAATCAAATAAAACTTGTTGAGATTTTTGTTGAAACTTATTCTTATTTAATCCATTATGATATATTCGACCTTGTTGAATAAATGAACGACCAGCTGGACTAGATTCTAAATAAAATTCATTATTTTAAAAACAAAAGAAGAAGATCATGTTTATTGATATCTATCTTTTTTCTCTAATTTCGAAATTTCAATAGAATGTATGGAAAGTTCTACCCAATGTTTTTCCTTTCGAGAGTGCGATGGCGATTTCCGGAAGGGCGAAAACCTAATTTCTGGGGGGGGGGGGCAAACACATAGTATGAGCACAAAAATTGCAATTTTCGGGAAGGCAAAATCGTTCTCCGGGTGGGCGCCGCCATCTCTGCTCTCCCTCTAGATAAATCACCGATTCTACCCTTAGTATGTCTGTAATATATTACGTATTGTTATCAATGACTAGTGTATTCGATATATCGCTCAGACAATTATAATAATCATGCTATGGCTAACTTTTATTATATTTGAATTACTAACCGGCTGATCGACTACGAAAAAACTGTGTACGAGTTGATGATGAACTTTTTGTTTTTTGATTAAATGTTCTTGTATATGTATCAGTTGTTTGTAAATAACTATTTGCTTGTAAATAAGTTCTTCTTTGTTTTAAAGCATGAAATATTGTTATTATAATTGAAATATTAAATATAAAAATTAATATTGATGGTATGACACTATAGAAACATAAATCAATCAATGGTAATATATGTCGATGTTTCTCATTATCAATAAGATCACAAACACGATAATCTGGATCATAATATTTATCAGTTTGTAAAAGAGGACGTAAAACACCCATTGTAAAAAAGCCATGTGCTGTATAAATTGAAAAAAATATTATAATTGTTAATGTTACTGTATATGCAATACGTAGACGACATATACGAATTGATTGAATTGGAAAACGAACAACTATAAAACGTTCAAATGTTACAGCAACAATAAGCCAAGCTGATATATATGTAAATAAATGTTTAAAATAAAAACTTAAACGACAAGAAATTGTCCCATTCAATTGTGGCTTATATTGAAAAGCTAATCCTAAAAAGTATAATAGACAACCTGAATAAAGTACACATATGTCTGTAATGGCTAATAATCCTAAATATAAATAAGATGAAAGGCCACGACGTGAACGTCGAAACATAATTATTGCTGATAAAATATTTCCAAAAAGACCAAATATAAGGAAAAAAGCTAATAATATAATAAAGAACCATTTTTGAACACCTTGTACACCTAAATGTTGTTTTGATATACATTTTGCTGGAAGTATACTAAGAATATAGGCTTCACGAGTCATATTTTTTGATTCATAACGTGAAGGTTCCATCCCTCTTAATATTTCTTCCGTCTCTGGACATGTTAATGAATTTAATAGTTCTTGAATATTTGTAAAATTTATACCTTTATACGTCATTTTAAATTAAAAATAAGAATAATCTACAACAACAAGAAAAAAAAGAAATCAAAATCCCATCTCATCACTATATTGACAGGATTATAAAGGGCAACAACTGTCTATACTTTATCAATATATAATTAACGCATTCTTGTCTGCTTCAGATCGAAAAAATATGTGGATGATGAAAAAATACAATAGAGAAAGAACAAAAAAGAAAGGGATTTGTATATTTGTGCAAGATCATGAACTTACTTGCTTTTTATTTCCATAATTTGCTTATGTATGCATTCCACAGCTTGAGAGATTGACTTGCATGTTTATACAAAGCCAAAAAAATATTAGGAAAACAATCGTTAGTAAGCTAGAATAATGATAATGACGTAGGATGTTTGTTATTAAGTATTATTGAGAGAAAATCAAAAAATAAAGATCAAGGAAAACTTAAAAGACTGATATTGATAGAAAATTATCATGTCAATTACTTTTTACATCTTTTATTTATAAAATAAGATGATATAAAAGAGTATAGAATACTATTTAAAAGAAAAAAAATGACTATGTCATACATAAGATATATACTTAATTTACTAGCCTTTTGCTATCAAATATTTACTTCTTTCTTTCAACGTCCTGTAAATAATTGCACTTGATAATAAGCTTTTTTTCCTCGATAATATAATAATTACATGACATACTTTTTCAATCGATTAATTAGATAATATTATCATATTGCAAAAATTCTTTTGTTGTTATTAACATATATTCAGTAATAGATATTATCGCCTTAGACGAATAACATCAATAAAAACATAATTAACAAATCTGTATATGATAAGAAATAAATAAAGTGAGAAATATATTGTTTATCGTCTAGGTTTATACAACTAGAGATATAAATGTAAAGTGTAACACTTGATATATATCTGTACTTGAAAAAATCATAAATCGAAGAGAATATTTTCTATCATAAAGAGATTTATATATAGAATCTAGACGCCTACTCTCGTGATGTTTAACATGTCATCATATTTTCACATTCACACTTATTTTGTTGATTCCGCTTTTTGATAGAATGATGATCAATACGTGCTCGTATAAGATTCTTGACTTATTACTATTATCAACAAATCAAATATTTCGACATTTTGTTATTTTTTTCTATTTAGAAATAGAATTTTTATTTTCATGTAACTATATGTTTCAGCAAACAACATTTCTATTGATTATTTTCTGTTGCTAAGAAAAGAAAAAAATAGCATGTATGTGGCTGCCATTACCACCTCGGTTATATAGACTTTCAATAACAGATAGGAAAAGAAAAGAGAATACGCTCTATACGAGTACACAAATATTCTCATTGTTCTATAGGAAAAAAAAATTAAACGGAAATGAAAAGAAAACAAGAAAAAGAAAGAAATTTTTTTTTATTTTACTTTAACTATTTTTGAAAAACATTTGTCGTTAATTTCTTTTTAACAAAAAAAATAAGAAAGTATTTGAACAAAAGTAAATCATCATGAATAACGCGTTTTATATGGCCCAAGCTCAAGTGATGCTGGGAAATAATATAATGAATCCTCAACAACAACAAAAATGGATGGAAAAACCTCTTGGTGATCCTAGTGGACTTGCTTATTTAAAACCATTAGATGCATTATTAGCAAAACAAGTTGTTTCTCTAACTGAAAGTATATAAAACTAGTTGATAGAATATTTTTTTTATATGAAATTATGATAATCTTTTAAGTGATGATTGGACTTCCAACACAAGCTAAATTTGGAATATTTAATGATAAAGGTGAACAAGTTTATTATGCATTTGAAGGTACACAAGATTTTCTTCATTTTTATGCGTAATATTTTTTTTCTTAGAATCTGATATTTGTCAACGTCTATATTGTCCTAAGACTCGTAAATTTGATCTTCATATTGTTGATAGTACAAATCAAGTGTGTATAGAAGAAAGAAAAGGAATTTAGTTATTTTTTATAAATATAATTATGTTCAGGAAATAATACGAATTAAACGAGAATTTAAATGTTGTTCCGGTTGTTGTTGGTGTGCTTGTTGTGAGGGATGTAGTCAAGAAGTAACTGTTGAATCACCTCCAGGAACTGTCATAGGCTTTGTTTCACAAGAGTATGTAGAGAAAAAAAATTAATTAATTAATTAATATTTATTTTTATTTATTTTTAGATGTAGTTGTTGGCGTATGCATTATATTCTTAAAGATGCTTCACAAACTCCAATATTAAAGATTGTCGGTCCTGGATGTATTTGTGATGGTCCTTATACTTGTTGTTGTGAAAATAAATTTACAGTAAAATAGATTTACATTCACCATAAAATAAATAGATAATTTCATTATAGTTATATGGTACTGATGGAATAACAGAAATTGGAGCTATTCATAAGAAATATCGTGGATTTATTGCTGAAGCTATGACATCGGCTGATAACTTTGCTATTCGAAGTAAAATAGAGAATATTTATCTATGTATACTTATATTTTTATTTTATAGTACCAATGGATATGGATGTAAAAATGAAAGCTGTCGCACTCGGTGCTTTATTTTTAATTGTAAATCTTTTCTTTTTATTTCATTAGCTAAATTTTTCTTTTGTAGGATTTTGGTAATTTCGTTACATCAGCACAACGGCGTTGATACTCATTATATTTATTTATAATTATTTGCTTTTCAAACTATTTCTGCTTATATTTCAACTTTTAATTAATCATTACGAATA